ACTCTTGCCAAATTTAACAAGACATTTAATGTTTTTTTGTGGCTCTAATTCAGGCTCTGACATTCTTGCAATGGCACACAAAAACACACAGCAATAATGACACCTGTCAGTAAGACACCATCACACAGCAACAAAACACAAATGTGAGATGTTTATATACCAAGGTTATGAAACTTGTTTGTACAGTGCTGCCAATGTAAGTGCATGTGGTGAGTTTGCATTCATGTCAGGCTTTGTAGTCATAGGAATAGAGGTCATATTTTGGAGTTAGCAAAAGAAAAACTGTTTATGGATTGGATATGAGAACAAGGAAGAGAGACAAGGATTTTAAGTATCTTGTTTGATGAATTTGTCATCTAACTGAGGTAATGAAAACTGACAACATACTGACTTTTTTATTGGCTTTGAATCACCAGAAATTTTTGTGAAAATTCTATTACTATCTATATTATGAAGAAAAACAGAGAAAATATTTCTAATTTTAAATTCATATTACCATCCAATCATATTTATTGCCTGATACCAAAGAGGAAGCCAATCAACTGAGACAGCAGGTGTAAGCCACGGAGAAATGGTTTAATATCACAGACAAGGAGGTTGGAGGAATTTCTGAAATCCTTCTCCCTGAAAATTTAGGAGAAAGGGTTTTGAGAAATATGGTTGGGTGGGCAAAAGGCTAGGCAATTGGATATTCTACTTAGCTAGGTTTGGGGCAGAAACACAGGGGTGTAGGAATGATCTTCTTTGCTAAATCAGTTCTTGGGATGGGGGTTACAAGACCAATTGAGCTAGTTCCTAGGTGTGGGCTACTGATCTGGGTGGCTCAGCCATTCCAGTAGGTGTATGTCACAAACTACTTTTAGGTTTATAACTACCAGCTATGTGATTCCAGAGTAGCAATTACAGAAAAGCAAAGGGAATTGACAGTGGCTGATCAAGATTATAATTGTTGCAATGTTTTAGGCCCTTACTACAGTCCTCACTTTACATCTGTCATTGATTTATAAAGAATGGGTTTCATTCACAGTCTGTCTCTAGCTATTATTTATGACTAATAATAGTAGATTTAGGGCAATAACATAATATATGGCTATATGTTCTTTTTTTTTATTAATTCATACATTCTTTTAATTTGAATTTCCTTATTTT